CGGAGACTTTGTTTTCTTCAATGTCCAATCTCTAGCACTTTGGATGGTGTGTGAAATATAACGGCAAGGCAAAGTTACTGAATGAATTAACAATGTTAATCATAGTATCATTTCATACTAGTGAAACACTAGAAATTATCTAAATTTCCAGCAGGGATCAATTAAGTGACTAATAGTTAGCTGATGCCTTCCAAATGAATGATCAGGTTAAGAGAAAGTTAAAGCAGATAATAGAAATTTTGGTTACTGCTGCACTGCCAGGGATCTTTTTAGGTTCTACTAAACATTCAGACCCAAAGGGCCACCACAGATGACACCTGGCCCAGTCCATTCAGGAAGATGAAAGACAGAACCACGGCAGGCTAGCAGGGCAGCCTTGGGTGTCATTCTCAGTTATGGCAGAGTTCACGCAGGTGACACTTCACACGGTCATTCATCTTAGAATTAGGATATGAGATCTGCACCATGAAGGCATGGGAGCTGCCTGGCTTACTGCCTCACAGAGCCAGTCTCTCTTGCAACAGGGCCACATGCAGTTTCCAGGGTCCCTGCAAAGGACATGCAGTAAGAAGAATCACTGCATTTAAGTCCTAAATATGGTATTCCCTTAGGGTACCTATAGTTCTCCCAGGCCAGATGCAATTTATCAATTAGGGGTCAAATCTGTCCTAACAATGTTGCCTATAATATAGCTGACATTCTACAGTTATCAGGTACCAGATGTATAATCAAAGCAAATTACACTTTCAGAAAATAGTGACAGCATTACTTCTGGTTCCATATGCTCTTCCAAAACATTGACACATATCCATTAAGAGAGAGAATCTATCTTCCCTCCCTGAAAACCAGGGGAAACTTTGTGACTGCCTTGATGAACAGAACAAGATAGAGGTAACATACTGTGACTTCTGAGGCTAGATCAAATAATGTGATACAGCTTTCACTTTGCTCTCTCAAGACATTTGTCTGCAGAACCCAGCTACCAGGCAAGAAGCCCAAGCCACAGGGAAAGGCCATGGGTAAGTGTACTGGCCAAGAGCCCTAGCTAAAGCCTCAGCCAACAGCCAGTATCAACCATTGGAAAAGTGCCCTCAGATGATTCCAGATCCCAGCCTTGAATCTACCTTAACTAAAGCTCTCCACTTGGGACCCTGGTTCCCAAGCTGTGCCCTAAGGCACTTTGGGGCACCACAGGAAAATACAACCACATGGTGATTTAAACTAGGCAGTTCACAGTAACAGTACAGCTGTCCCTTCACATCTGCAGGGGTTGGGGAGGGTGGGACCGTGGGACACAGGCACTGTTTCCACCAACAAGCTCTGGCCCCCCAGGATGGATACATAAGCCCCTTATATAAAATGGCAGAGTACATGCGTATAAGTAATGCACATCCTCCCAAATACTTTTAAATCATCTCTAGATTACTTATAACACCTAATTATATAAGTAGTCGTTATACTGTATTTTTTCCTTTTTTTATGTTTTCAATCAGAGGTTGGCTGAATCTGTGGATGCAGAACCTGGGCATACGGAGGGCCAAATGTATACTGCTCCATTCCTATCAATGACATTTTATCTTTGTTAAGATGGTTTCTCAGGAGTAGTTGTGATAAGAACAAATATCCCAGGAAAATCAGTGTGGAACGGGTATGAACACGGTAATGTCTAATCTTATTACAAGGCTAGGTCATTAAAAAGAAAATACAGCTTTCTCTTGGCTCACTTTCTCTTGAGACACCCTCCCTGGAACCCAGCTACCATGCAGGAAAAAGCCCAGGCCACAAAGAAAGTCACATGCATGTGTTTCTGCTAACACCCTCAGCTAAGGTCTCAGCTGACAGCTGGCATCAACTGCCAGATCCATGAGTGAGCAAACGTTACACGATTCCAGCTTCAGACTTCTAGTTCTTCCAACCGAGGCCCCAGACATCATAGAGCACAGACTGGCCTTCCCCACTGTGTTCTATCCAAATTGCTAACCCACAGAATCTGTGAGCATAATGGACCAATGTTTTATGTTACTAAGTTTGGGAGGCATGGTCACCATATTAATGAAGGTTCAATATACAATACAAAATAAGACAAGCAGACTATGTATGAAGCAATGATGATAGTGCCTTATGAAGCAAAGATCATGGCTAGCCTAATCCTGTGCACCCCAGAGTCCTTAAGAAAGGGATAGGGAGGCCGGGC